AGCTGTTCCAGTGCCCAACCACCATCTCCTTCTCCTAATACCCAGCCTGACACAACTTCAGGCAATGCCCTTGGCTTCTATCACTGCTCAACACAGAGAATAGATCACGTCCCTCCACTTCCATGGAGAGGGAGTCGTATACAGCAACGAGCTCTGCCCTCAGCACATTCTTCCCTCACCGCAGGGTCAGTGACAGGTCCTAACTCAGCACTTATCGCCAGTTTTGGTGCTTTTCTCATCTCCCATTAGCCTCTCCCCCCCCGCGGAATGGTTTGGTCCAGCCGGGTGAGGTTGCTCAGTGCAGTTGGGCCACACCAACCCATCGGGCGTTGGTGGTATAGTGGTTAGCATAGCTGCCTTCCAAGCAGTTGACCCGGGTTCGATTCCCGGCCAACGCAACTTCGCTTTTTCTTTTTGTCCCTTAACATTTTTAATTTTTTTCACTCCGTTTTTCATCGATTCCGAAGCGAATCGAGACTCGTCGGCTTCACCAGGCTGCGCTTCATCCGGCGGGACACGGGCGCTGGGCGGTGGTGGGGCACGTGGTGCTGTTCCTTCTCGCTCATATCGCAGGGGACGGCTGGGAAATAAAGATCTCACAGACTCCTAGAATTTTTAGGGGTTGGAATGGAGTTTAGAGGTGATCCAGTGCCAACCCCCTGCCCTGGGTAGGGACATCTCCCTTGAGCAGGTTGCTCAAGGCTTTGTCTAACATGGCTTTGAACACTGCCAGGGCTAGGGAAATAAAAACACGACAAAACTTGAAAAAAACCTAAAACGAATCCAAAGAAAACACAACAAAAAAAAAAACCTCACTCCGACAGAGGAAGGAAGAAAAACTGGTGTTTCCGCCCGGGATCGAACCGGGGCCCTTTCGCGTGTGAGGCGAACGTGATAACCGCTACACTACGGAAACCCGTCGTGACAGAACAACATTATCAGGAGGTGATGATTACTCCTCCCCGCGGGGCAGTAGTAATGTCCCTTGGGATGTCCCTCGGGGTGTCCCTCGGTCCCTCACCTCCAACAAAACCCTCCCCACACACCTCGCAGGGCTCCCGGTGATTAGCGTTAATGAGCAATCAGCGCTGCCGGAGCCCCTCGCCCCTCGGGATTTGTCCTCGCACCTTTCTCGGCAGCGTTTCGGGGGTTCCTCGCAGCTTTCTGGGGGTCCTCGCAGCTTAGGAGAGCATCCCCACGAAAGGGACCACGAGGGGTTCACCCAAACCACCCTGGCACCGCCACCAGCCCCCGGGGGCTGCGTGGACCAGGGACTGGCATCGCATCCCCGAGCTGGGAGCATCCCCCGAGCATCCCGGCGGGGTCGGGATCGGGGTCGGGAGGGTTGGATGAGTCCCAGCTGGGGATACTGGGAAAGAACTGTGTTTTCCCCAAGGCAGCTGCCACCAGATGTCGGTAGAATAGTGGCCACAGGGAGTGGAGCTCCCTGGAGAGATGTCCAGGAGGGGCAGGATCCACCTGGCCCCGGGGACAGGAGGTGGAACGACTCCCAAGGATAGACTTGGTGGGTTCCCTGCGAGGGGCGAAGGTTTCTATCCCTGCAAATGAAGCTTCTGGGATGGAGAAGTCACTCAAGACATTTTCTCATCGCTGAATCACAGAGGCACAAAATAGTTCGGGTTGGAAGGACCTTAAAGCTCATCCAGTTCCATGGAGAGGGACACCTTCCACCAGCCCCATCCAACCTGGCCTGGAACACTCCCAGGGATGGAGCAGCCACAGCTGCTCTGGGAAATCCATTCCAACCCCTCAGCACCCTTCCAGGGAGGAATCATTCCATTGTGTGGAGGCACTGATTCTGACCAGCCATTCTGGGATTCTATGAATTCTGAGTTGGAAGGCACCTTTAAATACTATCTCCTTCCAACCCCCTGTCATAGGCAGGGACACTTTCCACTAGCTCAGAGCTCCATCCAACCTGGCCTTGAACACTTCAAGGGCTGGGGCAGCCAAAGCTTCTCTGGGCAATCTCTGCCAGAGCCTCATCACCCTCGCAGGGAAGAGTTGAAAATCCCAGATGTTCCTCTTCTTTAACCTTACTGCAGTGTTAACAACTCACACATCCATGACAATCTTTCTCTGTTTGGTGAAACCTCAGCCCTTGGAACCAGGTGGTAACGTGAGAATTATTTCTTCCCATTTTGTTTTGATTGCTGAGGTGTGTTTTATGCTCTGATGGTTGCAGAGAAAAGCTGAGGAGGGAGAAATGAATCACAGACAGAAATAAAAAAAGGGAAAAGAACCTCCCTGTTAAAACAACTTGCTCTTCATAAAATCTGCTTTTAATTTTACACTTTAGTTTTACCATTTTGTAAGTGATCTCTTGATTTGGGGCCAAAAGGGACAGAGAGGAGTTTGTCACATGCCCTTTAACGATCAGCACTTGGCAGTGCTCTATTCTGATCTGACTGCTGATAAGGATTATAACATTACCTCCCAGTCCATGACAAACCTGATGTCTTGAGATTTGTTTGCTTCATGTTGTTGATTTTTCTGGAGTGAAACTCTTTTTTGCCTGCAGCTGGCAGAGCTGCCAAGAGGATTGGGACCAAGCTCTGCACTGAGCATCAACTCAGTGTGTGGGGACAAACCTAATCACTAGCTGAGAGTAAAATCCTTTCTCTTGAGCAGGAGGATCTATAAGTGACCCCCAAGACCATCCATGCAAAGATTCAAATGCTTTGGGTTTTGCTTTGTTCCACAGACCTCTTCCAGCCTGAGGATGGGGGAGGAAGGAGCTGCAGAGCAGGGAAGAAGCTGTTGGAAGGCATTTGTGGGAGGCAGAGGCAGGAATTGGATGAAAGATATGGTGCTGACTGTGTTAACTCCCAAACCCACACGGTGTTCCCTCATTCAGGCAGTGCTGAGCTCTTGGGACACACTATGTAGGTGGGTGATGGATCCTCCTCACAAGGGCAATGCTGCTTTGGGACAAAATTCCCTTTTCCCACTGGTTCCTGCCTGCTGGAATGGCTCCCAGGGATGTTCCTGCTTTCCTGCCAAAGCTCCCTTGTCGGTGACTGCCCAAACTTTGCTGACAGGACAAAGAGCCTGGCAGCATTTCAGTCTCCCTCCAGTTCCTGACCTATCCCACTCTGCTCCCAACCCTGCTGTGTGTGCAGCTCCCTCTGCCTCACCCCCTCCCCAGAAACTGCCTGCTCCCAACCCTGCTGTGTGTGCAGCCCCCTCTGCCTCACCCCCTCCCCAGGAACAGTCCCCAGAGCACCAGAAAGGACTCTCACATCAATACCCAGAGGCGAAAAAAAAAAGAAAAAAAGCAGAGGGCTTCTTTGGGAGGTGAAGGATGGATATTCTCCTCTATTATCCCCAGCATCTGCCCTTTGGGAGTGAGGGATCCCTCCCCCTGTGGGCTCACAGCAGCCACACTTGGCTTTGTTTTCCTGCCACACTCTACTGCTTGCTCACTCCCATTTTCCCCTTTTTCCTCCCTCCACTCCCTAACCAGCCTGCATGGCTCTTAGGAGAGGAAAACTGGGAGCACTATGGAGCAGGAGAGCTGACAATCAGGACCAGGAGACAACGCTGCCTAGCACAATACCCCCCCAATTAGCCATTCATTGCTTCTAGCTCTGAAATGGGGAGCAGAGCCCCTTGTGCTGGGAGATAAAACAAGAAGGGCTTCAATAGCACTGATTTAAATTAGGTCAGGCTGGCTTTTGTCTGGCAGGGACCACACAATAGCAGTCACACGACGGTGGAGGGGAGCAGCATAAAGGAAAAGAGGCCAAGCAAAGTGGCACAGATGCTGGGAGTTGTTGGGGGGGGGGGGGGGATGTGCTGGGAGCAGAGGGTTGTGTGGATAAAACAGGGGCAGATCATCCAAGCAGCACGTGGTGCTGAGGGATAAAAGGGGCAACGTGGTCAGCAGGGGACACAGAGGTCAAATATTGTCTGTGCAGAAAGGAAATCATCAGCTAGTTCTGGCACAGCACAGCCCTGGGAAAATGAGCTCTAACCACCACTGGGTGGGAGGTAAAGGGGTGACAGGTTTGGGCTTCTCACAAGAAGAAGGATATTGAGGGGCTGGAGCATGTCCAGAAAGAGCAATGAAGCTGGGGAAGGCTCTGGAGCATAGGTCTGGTGGTGAGAGAGCTGGGAGGGCTCAGCCTGGAGAAAAGGAGCTCAGGGAGGATCTTCTTGCTCTCTAAAGCTCCCTGCCAGGAGGTGCAGCCAGGTGGGATCAGACTCTGCTCCCAGGGAACAACAGGACAAGAGGAAACAGCCTCAAGTTGTGCCAGGGGAGGTTTAGATTGGAGATATGGGGAAAATTCCTCTGGGAAAGATTGCCCAGGGCAGTGGTGGAGTCAGCAGCCCTGGAGGTGTTCAAAAACCATGTGGATGTGGCACTTGGGGACATGGTTAGTGGTGAACTTGGTGGTGTTGGGTTAATGGTTGGGTTTGATGATCTCAGAGGGAATTTCTTTCCCCTAAATTTCTCCAAAGTCCATGCCTGGCTTGGACACCTTGGTGTGCTGTGAAATCCTGAGCAGGAATCTTTATGGATTGGTGGGTTTGGGAGAAAATCAGCAATTCCTTCAACAGGATCTCTTAACCCAAGTTTTCAAAGTGTCTACCTTTAGATAGAGGTCCTGGAGAGAGTATTTCAGGAGGATGGAAGCACTGGAGTCTCATCCCAGTCCTCACCTCAGTTTCATGAACATCCTCTTTTCTGTGATGACAATGGAAATGTTCATGTTTATCTCTTACAGGGAGGACACAAGAGCAGCAATAACAGAGCTCTCAGCCAGAGCCTGAGCTCTTCAGCAACTCTTGTCAACTCTAAATGAGTTTATCCAGGGAAATCCATATGCAGAAGGAAGGGCAGGTAAGTTTAAAACCAAGAGTTCACTCCTCTAGGTCTCCCAGGCAGAAACTTCTCACTCTGAATGGTCCTTTGTACTCCAGATTGGACTTTTACAGTTGGACTTTGCTGCAGTTGGACCAAAAAAACTAGTGATAAGAGAAAATTGGAAATCTAAAAGACATAATCAACCATTTAATATAGAATTCTGTGATGGGATCTGGAGTTCTGCCATTTAATCTGGAATTTTACCCTTTAATCCGGAGCTCTTCAGCCTTTTTTTTTTTGAAAGGCCAACCTGATATTCTTTGGCAGTTGGAAGGCAAAGCTGTAAACATAGAGAATATGATTACTTAAGCAAAATGATTCTTGTATTAAGGTCATCATTTTCCTGCTGGAATTACAAACGTTATCATTTCTGCTACTGAGAGGAAAAAGTAGGTGAGCCAAAGCACTGAGTGTGCCAAAAGGAGAAAACTAGGTTAAAACCCTGACTGATCACTTATTCCAGTTTTTCATTTGTTTCTTCACACCTGAATAATTTATCTTTCAAACCTAAGACAATTTGGAGCCACTTTGGGCCATCATTAACCTCCCAAGAGTCTTCATCATTCCCAGCCTGATTCAAACACGTCACTTCCTACAGGCAGAGGAATATTGAGTGGTCAGAAAGTGATATTGGTATAGTACACAGTAAAAATAAGTTGTTCTTTTTTTTCCCAGGGAGTGTAATTAAGCCTTGAAATAGTGCAGGGAGGTGGCCCTGAAGGCACTGAGCCAAAGCAAGACATATTGCTAAAAGGTATGTTCCCATTCACCAGATGGTCATGAAGCACTGAGTGAAATTATCCACCCAGTTCCTGTCTGGAGCAACTATTATAACCCTCATTTCTCTCAAAATACAAATATCTGGTTGTTAGTTGTCACTGCTATTACTATTGGGCATATTTTTAGCCATATTTTGAGGTGGTGAGAACACAAGGAAACCAACACGACAGCAATGTCCCACTTTGGGTTTCTTTTTGGTTTGTTTTCTCTGTGCACTCTGCAGGGAAGGATAAAGGTGTCCCAAA